AAGACTACGAGTTTCAACACAGATATCCATATGCACATAAGTATGTAGTCAAAGCATTTGTCCAGCTGTCTTTATATCCAAGTTTATTGTTCTTCCCCATTTTTTCTCGTCTAGGATTTACAGCTGGTTGTGGTGTTGCCTAAATTTCTGCAGACTCTTTTGGTGCAGTAGATTTTACTGGAAGAAGCGACAGCATCAGCTATACAGGACCTTTAAGGGAATTTCATAAATCTAGGTTTCAGAAGTTGAGCATCGAAGACCCCATTTTCTGTATCATCCCAGGCACCAAGTGAACCAACTAGTACTGCGTCGAACGTGGCATTTTACTCTTGATTTTGTAATGACGACTCCATATTTTTATAGCGTTGTATTTTGTTTTATCGTGTGACCTCAAATACCATATGTTTATCTCAAACTGGACAGAAATGTCTAAATCGTCGCCTTCTTTTTCGAGTTGTTCGTTCGGAACGATTACAGATCACAGTGTAGAATTCACTAGAGGCAGTGTCTGGCTGATAAGGATTTTAATACATGAACTTCACGGGAGCAAACAAATGAATAAAGCGTGCAGCTGCGCCTCAATTTTAGCCTCGTGCCTTCAGCACATGAGATCGAAAATAAGCTGTCGCATGTGCGTGTAACTGCTAACGTTACTTTCGTTGTTTACAGCAGAACTTTTCACCATTCTGTTCAAGTTTTACTCAAGCATCTGAGCATGTTGCCGCGCCTGCGGTTTTCTACCACAGTATGTGAATATATGACACTTTGCCTTTATCAAAATTTCACTCCTCATTAAGCTCTGGCAAAACGACTACTTCTGAGAGGTCATATCATAAACTCGTCACCAGTTTCAAGCATAGAATCGTACAGTTTCCTGTCAAACGCCTCGTTTCTTTGACCCGCTGACTTTTTTCCTCCGTATTTAAGCTTCACTTTCTACTGACACGTCATACCCGAACCAAATATAGTGATTGATGAACGAAACGTCACAACGCTGGTTTCATTAGCGTCACGCCTTTCATATTAGCATCGTAACACAGCTAAATAAAATTGACGAAATGGCTTGTCGCGCTGGCTTGTGAGTTGCACTGATGGACAGTAAGCTTCTCCATTACCAAGCAGGCAACACAGCAATATTAAAAACGAAGGCCTTCAGTCGTGATCATGGACCTGCCGTATCGAAAGCCTTTCTCATTAAGTCCTCAGTTAAACTTGCCGCCTCTCCACGAGTGCTGAAATATGTGGTCATGTTCCTTGTATTCAAGCAGTGAGATATTCAGCATATTCATTCATCGTAAATCACCATCCGGAACACTCTAATTTTGTCTCAATAAAAAATGACCATAGTCACTTTGATCGATCATCAAAAAAGGATGAAATTGTTGATCTAAGAATTATTCTACATCTTTGCAAACATAAACAGCATGTGCAGCGACACACAGTTTCCCCCGACAGTTCTGGTGTATGAGGCTTAATTAACTGCCTCGTTTAAAATTTGGCATGAGCCGCTATTTGTTGTAGCTGCCATTTGCTCTTGTAATTGTCACCATCACCATATCAGTGTTGGCCGTCAAAAAGGCCAATCGAAGCGTTGGCAGTATAACTAAACGCTTTAGCACTGGTCTTATGATTGTGTTTATAACCATTGGTAAACAACGTCAAACTCCTTCAGGACCATATTTCACGACGTATTGCACGGCTCCACTGTTCCTAGGAATACGTCATGTAATGTGGCCTTGGGGTCTTCTTGCGATTTTTGACGAACTATGTACTAACAACATGTTTTGCTGTTCACGCGGTAGCATATAAAGAGTACGAGCTTCTGAGACATCGTTCGAAATGATCGCGGGGTGGCTTTAGCGAACAAAATCATCCGAGATGCGTCTGGCACCGCAGCTGCTCGAATACCATGGAACCGTGACCTGCATAAAAGCCACCAGACAACAAGGAAGAAGGAGCTGAGCAATACGCCGAAATCAGGTCCTGCACTATTCATGCATTGTTTGACATGCACTGACATTCGAACATGTTTTGACATTAACGCTATAACCGTTGCTTCAATATCACTCTTGCAGCTCTGCTTTAGTCATGCTGATCTCTTCGGCCATATTGAATCATTCGCGCGGTTACCAGCTATGTTCATTAAGTAATGCAGTCAGGAAGTCTATCAGTCATGGACGAGGTTAATTAGTCAATGCAGCAAGTCAGCAATCAGATACGCGACTAAAATGTTGGTAAATTCGTAAGTTAGTCAATAACGAGTTCTGTGTCTATTCCATTCTAACTTTCCGCAATGGCAGGGTAGCCGGCGGGTAGAACGACTGATTCACAGTAGAGAGACCGTGTGTTAGAACTATGGTTGGTTCAACTCATATTTAATCCACTGGAATTGCATAAGTGAGTTCCATTCTCTAGGAAAGAGCAGAGAACAGTAGGATACAATGGCCACAAAGCTACAAATGGTTTCAAAATGCGGAATTTCTGGCTGATTACATCGTGTCAGTGATCAGCGCTACAACACATGCTCAATGAAAGAAGAGTGACACAAAGTTGAACAAGTCGTATAAGTAAAACAGACATTAAAACGGTTATAAACTTTATTTCCATTTTCAATCAGGCTTACTCTCAGATTAGGAAAACTTCTCTAGCTGGCTTCTAAATTTTAAATATTTCAAATCGGTTGTAATGAGCAATCACTCTCCAAAGAGAGCTTAGAGTGGAAAAATGCAGAACATCTACTTCTCAATGGTTTTCAATTATTTTCTTCTAATTTCTACCTCCAGTAATGAGTCTATGCTAAGTCAAAACATACCTTATACCAATCATGGTGGAGAAATGCCGAAATGAAGGACATGCGGGAAATTCGAAGGATCCGAGAGGATCAGAACAATGGCTTAGGGCAACGTGTATAATTCACAGAATATTGCTGTTAGAGAAAGGGACGGGCGCGTACACAACAGAATTACTCTCTCATGAATTTGCCATGCAAATGAAGTTGCTTCAGATAGTTCAAGTCATTGAAACCCACCAACAGCCGACAAAATGATACTGAAGAAGAGGTATGAAAGTGAAAAAGACGAAAGATAAACAGAATGAGAGAAGAAACTGCGTAACTTTTGACGGCTGATGCATAAGTATTGTTAGCAGTTTATCGAGGCATCGCCTCCGATCGATAACTTTCAGAGGGTTTTCTCGCTTTCGATCAGCCTATAACGGGCATTTCTGAGATAAACAAGACGGGAACCTATCGAAATTATGATCTCCTCCCTCTCGCTGTCTCTCGAGACTTCAATCGACACTTGCCAGATGGACACTTTCAGCACAGCTACGTGGAAGGCGAAGACGATCCACGGGCAGACGGCCGACCGCATTGCTCGGTTACGCGATTTGTTGTTGTGCCTGCGATTCCAGTCGATGTCTGATTACCGTTGAAAAAGCCATCTGAAGCACCTGGCCCGTAATCCGAAAAAAATGGCGACCTTGAACAGATGAATGAATGAACGAAATAACGAATGAACGGCCCATAGTCTTAAGTCTTCTATTTTGAGCACTGAGCCATGCAATTTGCCCAACGTTAATGGTTTGAAATCTGTCAAACGATGGATCCGGCACTACTTTGTCAATCGATACTTTCGATGTTTGTGACCACCGTAGCGGTTGAAGATAATGCACTCAAATGAACTTCCACTTAAAAGTGACGCCATACTCAGGTCGTTTCTCACTCCCCATGTCGTGAGAGTGAGAATGCTTTAACGAAGGACGTTCTCTTAAACTCAGACTAACACATTACGAAGTATTCGTCTCGGCAGGTTCACGTTTGTGACCTAAAATGCGACAGAAATCGTGATTATAAGCGACAGAGCTTAGAAACGCATCCCCAAGAAACTTTATGTCATCATTACCAGCGGTTTTCCACTCACCGCTAGATGAAGGTCCCCATAATTTGACCATATACTTCTGGTTTCTGCTATTACCATCCATTTTTATCTAAACAATTTTGTCAGCTCATCCTACCGTCAATCCGAATGTTCTCCTATGAACAGTTTACTCCTGTTCTCCTTGAACCCAGTTTAATGTAGTTCTGGTCCAGTGATGGCAGGGTTTCTCCTAAAACGTGCCCGGTCTATCGAAGCTTAAATTTCTTCACTCATCAATTATATCAAGACTTTTGTGTGTGCTCTTACACTTTCGTTCGTCTCCTCATTTTTTTCTTATACCCAGCACACACCTTTATAATGACTGATGTACACTCATGTAGTTTCTGCTACGTACTGGTGATGAATATGATACAATGTTAAATGAACACCAAATGATCAGACTCATGCTTCACTCTGTTGTCTACTATCATGATATTTCCTTAACTTTTATGGGCCTTATTTTGCGCAGACAACAAATCAAAGATCAGTAAGTTAGAGGGTATTGTAAAGGTCAAACACAATATCAGACATTACGATCGAAAGTTTTGCAAAATCTGGTATAACCACACGACGGCACAGACCGCCCCAATTGTCCGGTTTGCCAATCAATGAT